TTTTTTTTTTTTTTTTTTTTAGAAGAAACTTCATATCCCACAGTGATGGAACTAGAAGACTCAATGGAAGGGCTAGTGGTTCCTACACCCTCTGGACTGTCTCTCCATTGCACCCTCAGGATTCTTTCTGAGGGTGCAATGGAGACAGTCCAGAGGGTGTAGGAACCACTAATTTTTTAAAAATTAAAAATTATAATTTTAAAAAATTTATAAAAGCACTGTTATACCATATAAAATTTTAATACAATGCATATCAAGTGAAACAATTTAACAAGTTGAGCTGTTTGTAGTGTGGATTATATGCTTTGGTTTTCCCATAGGCATGTGGGTTTACATAGACATATAGGTTTACCTATTCAGTTGCATATCCTGCTCTTCACATAATACTGTCATACATTTTACATTATTGCTTCAAACTTCATGCTGATTTTTCTGTCCTTATAATGTTACTTTTAGAATATGAGTGTATTTAAATATTTACCTCTTGTTGAACTCATAGCTTGCTTCTAATTCTGCTGTCATGTAGTTTGTTCTATGTTTCTCTGTTTGCCAATTTAAAAATAAGATGTTGATAGGAATGTAACCTAAAGTATTTAATGAAAGTGACATTTCATCATCACGTTTTTATATTTTTCTACCTCACTTTTAAAACATGCAATTAGCTCTGGGAGACGGGTGCATAGAAATCACTACCGTTGCCCCATTTGACCTCAAGCCTCTGAAACTGTTGAGTCCTTAACATAGTGAGAATTCATAGCCCTAATTTTATTTGTAACAGTTGGAGTCACATGTTCATTCCAGTCACATGTTACATATTTCTATTGCACATATTATATGAGATAGTTCTCATTTAACAGCAAACAGTTTTCATTCCACAAATGGCTGTTAAAATCACAGGAATTGTGAAATTGGATTTATCTGAGCTTCTGCAGCTGCCTGAATTCCTTGTGGCAAGATAAATGCCAGATTATTTTTTATTGGCTCCATACTTAGGGAAACCATGAAAAACTTGGAATGTCCTTTAAAAACTGTCACAATGGTACAGTTCAATTCAGTCTAAAAATGCATTATTAGGCAGTTTTCTCTCCCCTCCCCAACACTGCTGTGCCTTCCTTTCTTTCCCTCCAACCCCGCTACTCCTGCCATTTGATATAAAATTCTGAAAACATTATGACTTGGGTTATGAGTTTTATTATTAAATCAAAACTCATAGCTAAATTTTATCATCTTAATAGTCCATTATTGTTTGGGTCAGATTGGTTTGTTGTTGCTGCACATTAATGCA